ACGACTTTCAAAAGGTTCGTTCAACCTGGACTAGTTATTTCGTCATTTTTCATTATAAAAAATTGATTCATTCCCCATCATAAGAGTTTCAGTCATCAATTGCCGATTACCCTTCCCTCCAATATTCTTCAATTTTCTCATATCTCTAATTCAACACTTCGATTTTTTTCTCCAATTTCTCTCAACTCCTAAAAATATCGCGAGTAATTTAACAGTGTACAAAAATGTCCCATAATTTTTCCGCCATTTTTTCTGCAAAAAAAAAAAATCTCTCCTCCCTATATAATTCGTTTCCTCCCGTTTCAAGCGAGTCGCCACCATTACGTATCGTAATTAGTGACCCGAACGGAAAAGTCCAGCGACCAGTTTTGTCATTAGCGGTATCCAACGCTAAAAATTAATGCACACCCGTTTGAGAGACCCCGGGCCACGTTTAATTGACGTTGAATCGAGGGGGGGGAGGGATACGAGAAAGGCTCGAGATGAAATACCGAGGGTAAGGGAGATTGGATCCAGGAGTTGAGTGTACTCATCAGCTGGACGATGAGCCCATCAAAATTTCTCGATGAAAACATTTTGGAATGAGAATACATTAAGGGCCCCTCGACCCACTGATTGCTCATCGATTTTTCTGAGGGGGACATATCGAGGCCATTTGTACTTGCAATCATGCCGCAATATTGTCTCATGTAGTTTATTCACTTAATAGACTATTTCATCCGGAAAATGCATTAAAATATGTGTTAACTATGCTGGGAATGAATTTTTCCACCGTCTCACGCATGTACAACATAATCACGCAATTCCGTTCTACTTTGCATCTTGAGTCACGCGTGTCTGCGGTGGAGTTTTCACGTTCCACTGGAAAAATTAAGTGCTCAGAGGGGCAGGGGGGAGGGGGGGTTGTAAAGGATATTAAGAGTCGAGAACGCGTTAAAAGTACGACAGAATGAACTTTTTTATTTTAATTGGTGATATATCGCAATACTCTATTCGCAGAGAGAAAAAAAATCCTGATGCTCGGAAAAAAATTACTTATCACTTGTAAAAAAATTTCAATAATTTTTTTTAGAATGATAAAAAATTGCCTTCGATCTTTCTAAACACAAAGAATTTACAGGAAATTAATTCCCATTTTGGTGCAAAAAATTGGATTGAAATTCGTAAGATCAGCAAGTGAAATTCGCACATAGAAATTCTTATGGAAAAATTTATAATAAAAAAAACATGATCGAAGTTAAAATGGGAATATTTTAGTGGATAATGTGTGCTAGGAAAGATCATTTTTACTATAACATCAAGGTGAACTGGGAATTGAGGAAAATTTAAATATATAGCAGTAGAGTTTTTATAGAGTGGTGGAATTATGCATTCCGGACATTAGAGCACATTTTTCACAGTTTTATGTGGTAATTGGGTGAAATAGAGACGTTGAAGAAGTGTTTGGGATTAACGCGCGATGGAACTGTGAACTGTCGACTTTTCCCACCGTAATTGCGTGAATTGAAGCGACCCGATAATCATTACGTCAGTCATTGTCATAGTCGTAACGAGGGTATTTGCCATTTCACTGGGTATTTCCTCTTTTTCACGATACCAACAATTTCCGGGTTGTGAAGCGTCAATTCCACAATGTGCGAATAATTCCGTTGAATAATGATTTATGAAAATGAAAAAACAACTGTAGTCGACATAATGGTCCCATAAATTGCCTAACCCCCATAAATTCCAAAACAAGGTGAAATGAAATTATTACTCATTCCCACGAAGGACGGATTCTAATGCGATACAAACGTGTTTGACGCCTTCAAATATCCGAGATTAGGGATATAAATCCGCCGTAACTCATTATTTATCGTCGACTTGGTTCACAATGTTGTAATTAATCGGCACCGAGTGCAATTCCGATGGTGTGAGTCATCTTTCGATGTGGGATGGACATTGGCGGTGAAGAAAGAAGTGATAAAATCGTTTCGAGATCATTGACGAACCCGATTATTGACACGCCCTTCCAATAATTAGATCGCGATCATCGATTATCCACGCCCGCTAGATTATCATCGAGTATCTCCACTCATTATTTCAGGTGTTTCATTTATTCTCGGTGAGGGACGATTGCTAAACATCGGTCTAGTGCGCTAATCAATTTCGTTCAAATGATACCGTAAAGATACAGTCATTACTATTTATTGCAGTCAAATAACTAACATTTAATTCAATTCACTCTACAGCGTTGATGTTACAAATGTTCATGGAATGAATTTGTAATAAAAAACGAATTTACACTTTTTTCGAATTTAATCAAATTGATTTCTCTTTGAGATAAACTGAGAGCGACTTGAGTCGGCGCTTTTTTGCCGGTGGATTTGAGTAAAAATAGAAATTTATGTCAATTGGAACTCTACTGGTCGGTTGTTTATTTGGTGGAGGAAAAGTATCAGGCAAAGCGAGAGATGCTAAATCGATCCTTGGAGTTGGAGAATTTACACCACCTCGTGGAGGGGATGTACATACGAGGCACGATCGTTCGCACGCAGGTACAGAAAAGAATCAAACGAATGAAGCAAGAGAAACGATACACAAAGCCATTGGGTACAAGAGAGGATAACAGACAAAGGGGATAGCCTAGAAAAGGAATAAACCAACAGGTCGCTCGCGCCTCGGGAGGCATTAATGCTTAGGACTGAGGTCTTAATTGGCATAGGGTTAGGCCGATGGTCAATCGCGTGCCTAATTAATTAGCCCTAGAGGGACAATAATTAATTATGTACCGGTATTCGAAAAAAGGGTGTATGGAATCAAAACGATTGGCAATAATTAAATCGTTTCGATCGATCGCTCATTTAATCCCAGGAAAATTCACAGGGACAGCCATTTTGACCCGTGGGAATTTTTTTTTCCATTCCATTGTGGCGGGTATTGTTTCTTCAAAATTCACGGCATCCCGTAATTGCGTTTACAGAGATTTTGCAAGATTTCACATTTTTCTAGAAAATTCAAGGATTTTCTAAAAAAATTTGCGTTGTTAGGAAAAAATGGTGACAGGGAAAATTGAAGATAAATATTTCTCAGTGAGAAATACCGGAAGGAAAACTAGTCTCGTATTTCAGTTCAGAGGTATTGGGATATATTTGATCGTTGAGAGGGGAAGGGGCAACCCCCGAGGGGCACGAGGGGGGAAAAACTTCCCTTTATGCGCCCGAACGCGCGTCGTCCCTGAGGGGACCCCCAACGCACACATATATACACACGTGTGTCGACAAATGTTACCAAGTTAAAAGTTTTGTGAGTTGAATATCTAAAACCTGCAGGGGAGGGACTAGTTCCCCCAGACTCGGACTGATATATTTCGCCGGGACCGGGCCCTCCTGCCCCCCCTGCCCCCCTGCCCCATCCCACCTTCGATCATCATCGGAAGAACGTGAATCACTCGGTCTGACTCTGAGCCCTCATAAACATGTCTCGTCCTCACTATTTGTAAGTGGTCATGGTCTCAAAACATTGACTTGCTTGTTTTCCCCACGAAAATATTTATATCTCCTTATATATTTTCCAATTTACATTAAAAAATATATAAAACATTAATTTCATCTATTTTTCTTATGCATTCTTCATCATTTTGAAAAATAGACGTAATTAGGCGGTATATATATTTTTTTGTGGGAGGGGAACGGATTTGAAATTGGGGTCGACCACATGAAGATAAATTTGAAGAATAAAATTTGAAATTTATACTAGATTTATCATGTTGTTTACGCAATGTGAGAGGAATTTCAAGTATAAATTTTTCTCAGTGCGAGGAAAAATGAAATAATGGAGATGATGATTTTTGGTGACCAAATAAGGGGGTGGGGGGGTATAGAAAAATACTTGAAAACAATGAAAATAATACGGTTATTTAATTTTACTGCTGTCGCCCCTACCGGACTTTTATTTTGAGATACAGTTATTTCCGTTCACTCGGGAAAAAGGGAATCATGAGAAACATCGAGGGTTGGGTTAGCCCATGGGGGTTGGCTCAGGTTAGGGGTGAATAGAGCTGCAGTACATCCAACCAACGGAGAATGAAATCTGTCTATTGTTGCTGTTTCCCCTAAACCCCCGAACCGCTTCCCCTCCGGGCTCTCTCTCCCTCTCCCCGAGACAAACAAGTGAAAATTAAACCCCACATTTTTACCCCTGAATTTAAATCGGGGTTTTTTTTTTAAATCTCCATTGTATAAAATATTATCGATTTTCTGAGTTCAGCGCTTCTGCTCCATCTTGGATGAATTCTATGAGCACCAATCGATTTTAAAAAGTCAAACCTCACAGCATTTTCAAATTGTTAGGAATTTTCCACTGAAATTTCCGGGACTTTTTATTCGTTAGAAAATTCATTCAAGTCGGGAAAGTCTTATATTTCAGTCACGAAAATCCAGAACATTCGTAAAATTTCCGAGGAATATTATTAAAATAAACAAAAGGTCCTCTTCCAGAAAATTCCCTGAAAATTATTCAAGAGTTCAAGTAAAACACCGTCACCCTGACAAAATAGTGATATCAATAACCGATAAGTCGTTCCAAATTCAATTGCTACGAGTCTTTCAAGTTCATAAAAAAAAAATTTCTCCCTGCATGAACCTTAAAGATTGTTGCAAGAGCCGAATATAAAAAGACGCAGGAAGAATACTGCGGGCAGTTTTAAAACCGATACAATGATGGAACCAATAGTTAAGTCCCGAGCGGAAGAAACCCTCAGCTCTGTCAAGTGCGAGGGAGGCAGAGCCCCGGAGTAACCGAGTGAGACAGAACTAAACCCATAAAAAAAATAAAAATAAAAATAATCCCATGGTGCGAGAAAGACAACAACTCTCGACTGGAATTCCCATCCCGTGTGATGGTTGGGGTGGGGATTGGGCCCTAGCCGATGCCGAGCCGAAGACTTCCGAAGCGCCGTTGCGCCCCCTCGGCGGTGCGCGCGGGAACGTGCACCTCAGTTGCTCTCCAGGCGTCAAAGCGCTCAGTACTTCTGTACCGCTCATCCCGCTAATTTCATTAAAAATCATTGAAAAAAAACAACCGCCTAAAAAGCCAATTAACCAATGATCATCGTGCATCTAATTCAGCGTAAGTGAACGAATGAAAAGAAAAATTCCAGTGAAGGCTTTGCAGTGTCAACCAGTGCATAAACCAGTGATTTTCAACCCCGAGGATTTTGTAATAACTTTTATAAATCTCCATCACTCTTCATAACGTTTTAGAACAGTGTATAATTAGTTTTGATAGTGACTAGAACTGTATTGATTGAGGATAAAAATCGAGAGATTAGAGGAGAGAGTGGGGTGTGTTTTGGAGTGGTCCATCGTCTTCGGCGGTTGTGGAATGTTTGATTGCAATGTGAATGGAAGTGAGGACTAAATCGACATTTGGCAACGCCTGCAACGACGATCCCTCACTCGATGGGTCTATCCCCGTCATGGATACCACGTTGATTCGTCGTAACACAGGATAAAGGCAATTTGAGCGAGTTTAGGTTGCCTCGAGATAGAACTACTATAAGCATCTCCGTCGCATGTCCGCGACGGGACGCCATCGCAAGAGGAACAGAGAGAAAGGGAGATTCTGGGGGATAATATTGGATTGTGGATTTCCCGGGTCTCACCATTTCTTACATCTTCTCTAATTTAACTGATTTTATCGATGATTTGTCAAACGATGCGGCGATTTTTATATCTGTTGGGTACGTGACAGTAGTGGACCCAGTTTATCCTGACATTTGTTGACTCGAGTGGTTCCATAGGGGAGTGAGTGGAGTTATCACTCCAATCCTGCTGTGATAATAATTTTTTGGATATTATTGTTAGATGTTGATTATTGGTTACTTAGGAACGTACGGCGGTGCAATTTCTTTTAAGTTTCAATCGTGATAGATCTGTGGTGCAATATTTCCCGGGAGGATTAAGGTGGTCTGTGCTGTGTGAAGTGGATATCGAGATATTTTTTAACGAAGTATTCAGGATACAGTGCTCGGAGGTATTGTTTGTTGGGGAGATTTCAGTGATTGATACTACGGGAATGGAGTGTGCTAGTGAATATTATAGCGAAATATGAGGACTACGCCCTTGGGATTATCGTGCAACACGAATTTTTGTGAAAATGATGCTCACGAGGGTGTTATTGGTGGTTTTGCTCGCTGCAGGCTCCAGGTTCGATATTATTTTCATTTTGATGATAAATAGCATTTCGCTATGGTGACATGTTATTTTAGGCTCGGAGCGAGTTTCGGTTCGGAGCGAGTGGTTTTATTGTTCTATTCGATTTAAAGGAGGATTTATTAATTTTCGACACTAATTGGTTTTCCGAGCGCAGCAAAGTTAAATTAGTTCGAAATAAATTCATCAATTCAAATTAGTCTTTCCTGGTTTTATGGGCTAAATGAAAATATACAAAATTTCGAGTGGTTAGCCACGTTTGACTTTGAATTATTAATTCTATTAAGCAATCAATATTTAGTGTATTTTCCGGTTGAGGAATGCGGAGTCGATGTATCGCAACAAAATACTACGCCGTATTTATAATGGGACGAATCAATAAACAATAATTGGTCCTATGTAATTATGTAATTACGTTGGGCACTTCTGAGAGCGTTATCGTTGCTCATAATCACCTCAATGTTATCAGCGGATATTATGCGCGAACTCGATATCTCTGATTGCTCGAGGCACGCGATATCCCCAAAACAATGACACTCATTGTCAGCTTCAATCCATTTCATCCTGTTTACCCCGATTTAATCCCGCTATCCACAACTGAAAAAAATTGATTAATTCTCTGACAAAATTATGCTGAATTCAAATTAAGTGGAAAAATATCAAGAATTTTCAGTTTTTCTAGAAATTTCAAGACAATCTTAGAAGCTAAAACGGGGAAAAATTCAGTGTACATTTTCCGGGAGGGAACTCAGATAACCCCGTGACGTAATGATCCCACGAATCACCATTTATAATCTCGAATTTTCCTAAAATCATCGCTTCAATAGTGAGGGGATTGTTGGATTATTGAGTTTAGTTTATTCTTTAAGTGACTGTTACAAAAATGAATCGATATGGATGTTGACTGAAAGTCACTTGAGAGGCTACATAAACATTAACAATGATTTCTGAGGAAGAAAGAACAGAGGGTTCATTCATTAGGTGACGAATTTGTTTCTCATCTTTGTGACTAGTTTTTAGTCTCCTGGAGATTTCCGTAGAGTACAGACGTTTCTTCCTCGTGCCATTATTAAGAATAAAGAATTTAAGTTTAATCCACGGCTTTATAGTATTATTTATATCTCCCATTTCCAATAGGGATAAAATAAATCAAATTTCATTCAGTAGTTTTTTCAATCATCTTCCCATTTTGTAAATAATATATATTCTATACTAATAGAAATTTCTAGAATTTCATCTTTCAATATTCCTTTATAATTACATGAATTCTTGGAGCACTGTCTCAATTTCTCACTCAACTTGAGAATCTACCGAGAAATACAGTGTGCGATTTTTGATTTTTCTATGAAAGTTTATATTTCCAGACTCCTCCCGAAACTTGAACATCAAATCAAATTCAATTTTTAACAGATTAAAAATTCGCGAAATCACTATCTGAACTTGAAGAATTCAAAATTGTCAAGTCTTTTCACTGCTGGCTGGGTCTGAAAATCATAAATTCATGAAAAAATAATTCCCCCAAAAATGTCAAATGTAACATGTGTCAAATTGAAAATTTCAAATGTAATTTTCTAAGAGTGAAGTATAGCGTAGCATAATGAATGAAGGAATTTACATCTCTAATCTGAACTCTTAATCCACAGATGCATGTGCACAAACGGATACACCGGCCAGAACTGCGAGAGCAAGTACATACCCTGTGATCCGTCGCCATGTTTGAATGGAGGATCTTGTAGCCAGTTGTCTCCACTCACGTACGAGTGCCACTGTCCTGAGGGTGAGTCACGCAATTATGTTTAACCTACCGCCATATCTTGCTGTACAATGATACGCTCTGAAATTTGTTACGAGTCAATTACGCCATCCTAATCAGACGAGATAGCCCTCCCAAATTATTTACCCATTTTGCACAATTTTATTCCCCCCATTCCCACGACATTTATACCTTGAACTCATTTCCGTGTTTACCCACATGCGTTACTTTTTACAATTAAACGGATGCGCGTGTCTTAAAGGATGATGACCATAGAGGACAACAAAAGGATCATAATTCTTTGAGTCCTTTACTTTTTTTTCCTTTCTTGTTCTTCCAACATTTCAGAGTGTCGCGATACATTTCGGACCCTTCGCGCATCGTTGAATATCTTCTAATGACGAGGAGAAGAAAGACTTTGTTTGATAATAAAGTTAAAAAATTAAGGGTTACGCCTCAATTCCGGTGGAGACTGTAATTACTCTGTGAATTGGAGGGTCATTAATTTTTTGGCTAGTACTCAGAATATTTTCATTTTTTCTTTAATTCCAATTGTTTCAATTATTCAATGTCATTGGACACTATATCATTTTGAGATTATTTCATTTAATAAATCAAATCAAAGTCTTTCTTTTCATTTTTTTTAAAGCGCTACAGGGGATTCAATATTAGAAATGAACGAAGTACTTTCGGCGAAATGACATTTATTGAATTTTCATTAATTTTCCTGTCATACTTGACTAGAAATTTTCCAATTGCGTAAACGGTTCACAAGAAAAATTTCAATTGAAAAACTAGTAAAAGGCGTTGTTGGATATTTCCAAGGGAAAACGTATAAAATGGAGTGAAAATTTTTGAAGAGGGAGGAGGAAAACGATTAACCGGAGTAAGAGGTCCACTCAACAGAGTCCAAGTATTTCATTACACGCGCAACGAGGTGGATGGTTAATTCTAAAAGACTAGGGTCAGCCTAGCGTGGCTTGCACGGTTATACGAATGGCACAATGCGTTGGTTGGATCGTCCTCCTTGAGTAATTTTTCCCAGGCGGACCACAACCGTAGCGACCCCACCTCACAACATATTCCCCCTTTTCTACATTTCTTTTCCGTCCCCCACTAGAATTTCTCTACCTCAAACATCCCTATAAAAATTATGAGAAAATTCCGTAATTACGTCTCCAGGTATCACGCAATATTCCACATATTCCCAAATAAAATCAATTCTCCAATTAATTTCAATAATTTCAGTTTCAATATTCCCATTCGCTAATTTCAAAATGGAAATATTTTCACTAAATTTTCCATAAAAATCCTCTCAAACTTTAATGACATATGGTCCTAAGTTTTTTACATTCATAATTAATTTCCACTAAATAATGAAGAGATATAAAGAAATAATAAAATGTCTCGAAAATTGAGTTGAAAAGTCCCACGCACAGTCGAGTGAACCTGAATATCGAATAATTCAAAAGTACAATAAAATTAATCAGGTGCAGATTGAATTGCAAACCATCACGTGCAGTAGAAATTTTCAATTCCTCCCTCGATCAACGCAATAATATATTTCCGGTGATTTTTTGCGAAATAATGAGCGGAGAAAAAAAAACAAAATGCCCCGGGTAATAAAGAATTGAATTGAAATGCCTCACAATCGATATTGCATTAGCAATTTCCATTCGAACAAATCCAATATGTTGGGATGATAGAAACAGCGCGAACTAGGGTGGTCTGGGGCTCCTCCCCGGGGTATCCGGAGGCTGTCGATGAAGAATCCGTTCTCTCTTCTGCATAAAGACACTAGTTCCCCACTAAATTCACGCACGTCACATTATTTTATTTTATTTATTTTTCGTACCTATCGTTTTCCACTGAGTTGCGTGGACAGCCAATAAAGCGCCGAATAGAAGTGAAAACGAAAACAAATGGAAGTAATTCAAACATTACGGTGGGCCTTGTGTATAAGTGCAATTCTTGGTGAGAGAGGATGTAGGTATTGAGGAAACGAGGCGGGTGGTTATGCCCCCGCGCTGATTTATGCCGTTGCGCGGGCATAAAGTGCGTAGCACGGAGAACAAGCGATCAGAAATGCTCAGGCGGACAGTCAGAAACCAGGCAAAGATCTTGTGCAATTTTCATTATTTTATCGCCATCCTTTCTTCGATTTGCATTTGTACTCAATTCAGTTCAATGGGACAAACTATATTCAACATAAAATTACTCTGACTTGAAAATTGCACTCTCCATTGAGAGAAATATTTTATAAAATTTACTCTAACGTTTTACAGTTCTGTAGCTGTCTATTTAAGATTTTTTGGAGATAATTTTTCAAGTCGATACAAAATTTTTAAAAAATGCGTAATCATTAGAGTAATCAATTAAAATATAAATAATTCTCCTAAATAAATGGATATTTAACCAAAATAAATTTAATTCTTGATTTGCTGAATAATTCATTACTAAAAGATCACTTGACTGATCCCCTAAAATGTCAGAGAATAAAATAACCATTGAAGTGAATTGAAATTGTCCTGAAGCGCCGTCTCCAAGGAGTAGATACCCTGAAAGTCGGAAAATTTCCTAGGAATACCCGGACTGGTATCTAAAAATATTCAATTTCGCGGTGATGCAAAACTCGTGAAGACCGCGACGTGTCTCACATTTCCATTAATCCCGAAGTTGTACCAAGAGTAGTTATTTTATTTGCACGGCGTGACGCCCGGAGGACAGTGACGAATAATCGGGCCCAGAAGTATCGGTATATGCCCCTCTTGGGTGGCTGTTGGCTTTCATAAGAGTTAGAAGAGAACCAGATCTCCTCCAGCCGGACTCGAGTTTCCTCTCTCAGTTGAGGGAATATTTACATACGGTCTATTGCACTTTGTGGAGATCCAGTTACATAAAACGTTGCCCTGAAAAATGAGGAGACGTCTAATTTTATTCATTCTCACAAAAAGTAACGATAAAAAATGAGATTAAAAATGGGGAGGAAAATAGTTTTCCAGCGGTGGTTTCGGACCGTTGTTAAACTATTACGGTAGTCTATGAGAGTTGCCTCGAAGCTAGAGCGTGATTTTGCATACTCCACTGTTGGATTGGTGGATACTGCCACGTGAAAGAAAGGATATGCCGTGTTGCTTCTATGTTATCCCTTCCTTCTCAGTAGTTGGCTGTGAACGTGACCTTAGCCTCGGATATGTGCCTCCTGGGGAGAGTATATTCCTCATGTCCGCTTTTCCATACGCACACCACTAAAAATATCAAATTAATTATCAAAATTCTAATAAGCCGTTCATTCAACATTACATCTATTCAAAATATTCCCCTTCACTTCCAGAACTCAATCTAGAAACTTTTTATCGCCTTCCATTCCAAATTCAATATTTTTTCAATTTGACAAAAAAAAATACATATTTTTCGGCGTTTTCAAAATCTCTATCTTTCCAAGAGTTACACAAAAATTTCGGTGGATTCCAATTGAGAAAAATAATGGAATTATGTGGAGCAATGAGGAAAATATAGAGAAAAATATTTAGAAGAATACAAAAATCCATGATTTCCAGAATTTGGACATAGAAAAGAATATTCAATTTATATTTGGCGTGCGATAAAAATAGGAGTTGGAGATTGAGTCCCTCGAATAATACGAGAATTCACTCGTCAATTTTCCTGTGCTGATGATTCAGGCACTTTGCCTTTGAGAAATCATGCTCATCTCTCTGGAGAAATCCATTGGACTGAAGCTGGCACGCCAAGGTCTTGCCAGTGCCAATATATATGCAAATAATCCCACTCGATCGTTATTCAGATTCGATGAGGCACTGAATTTAATCCAGATTTATATCGACTGCCTTTCCATACAACTCCAACCTCTTCTTCTTCTCTTGTAATCGTGCCTCTTGTATTTGTACCCTGCGCAGGCGTATATATATCGTTTCGATTTTGCATTTGAAATAAACTGAAAATATTCGGCCTATAAATTCTCCAGAATACAAGTAGCGTCATAATGGTTACAAAATGAGTGCTACCAGTTTCATGTTCCAACGAGAGAGGAAAAAAAAAATTCTCGCATTCTTCAGCGAGTATTTTTCCTGGGGCTCAAGTCCATGAGAAAACATCAAATTAAAAGCAGGCTGACGTTTTTGGACGTCCAAACGAGACTGGCGTTGTAATTACCGGGACAAAGAAGGCAAGAGGAAACGGGACGCGTTGTTTAACCATAAAAAAAATCATATAAATCAGAATTCGTATGAAAACTTGGCCAGCATTGCTGATAAAAACAATAGCCTGTGGTTTTTTGTACGTGGAGATGGCCGAGGATCGTGTGGAAGTCACTTGACCTCTGCCACCGACGCCATCTTTCCATAAACGTAAGGCCCATACGTAATTCTACCCTAAAAACCCGTTTTAGTAATTTTATCCATTATTCTACATATATTTTTGCGCCTTTTTCAGCAGCTCGGTACTCTGCCTTTTTTCTCCACTATTAATTTTTTTTTTTGTCACATTTTTGATGGTCCTGGAAATGTTTTAATATACCGACATTTCCACGGACATTTCTGGGATTCCCGCCGCAATTTCTAGAATTTCCTGGGATTTTTTCTATAATTTTATTAAGTTCTCACCTTGAAGTAAATTCAAAATTTTATTTCCTTCCACAAAATTTGATTCTCAATTGTCAAAATTTGTACACGGAAAAAAAATCGAGAGGTAATTTCTACACAGTCAATTTAATAACTCTTGATTATTTCTGCCAAAATTGATGCCAAAAATTTTTGATATCGGATTGAAATTGAAATTGAATCGGTGTACCAATTCGCTACTGAATTTCTTTTAGTAATTTTGATTGTATTGTTTTCTCTACTCATTTCACTTGAACTCTAAGCATTAAAGAGCTCTTGATCCTGGAATCTGAGATAAATCCGGAAAATAGTATTTCGTACGTTATCCACGAAAAGCCGCCCAATCAGACTCAATATTGCTCCCTATCTTGGGTTTCGGGGTCAGAGTCGTGTTCCAATTAGATG